TGTTTAGTAAAATTTGAAGTAATTTGAAAAGGCGAAATTCCCTAAATCTCCCCTTTTCGAATTCAAATTTGCATTTCAAAATGTAAACTGAATTTGGATATGGTTATAAAAGCAAAGTTGTAGAACTTTTGATTTTGAACAACTTTTATTTTTGGAGATTTTTGAGTTGTTGTAAAAATTTGGGAGTAATTTGAGTTTCAAACTGGATGGCAATTCTGTAAATTTGATGAACAGTGTTCACCGCTCTTGCTACATCACCGGCAACCTTCGGCTTGCTTCTAGGCGCGCGCGTGGCAATTTTCGGCGTCGTACTGGCGCGGTGAAGGCCGTGGCGTGGCTTCTCCTTACTTCTGAGCCGCGTTATAAGGACTGAGTCGCCACCGTTTGTCCCCGCTTCCTCACTATGTTTTCACCGCCGCCGCCGTTGCCATAGCTCCGTTGAGCTTTTGCCATCGACCTAGCGTCGTTGCCCTCTCGGTAAAGGCCGTCCCAGCTTCGTCTCTTCCTTGCGAACACAGCTAGCCAACCTTGGTTGCCTGAAATTGTCGGGAACTCGCTGTCCACGCTCTTCTTCCTCACGGCCGGCTGAACCACCATCGACCTTGCCTCACCGTCGTCAGGCCACTACAGTCCGTCTCCGCCTTCACCGAGCATACCGTCGTGTTCGTGGTGAGTTCCTGAGCATGATGCTCTCTTCGCTTTAGTCTCTACCGCGTTGTAACTAGAGTTGTGCCGTGCGTCGCCGTGTCTACGTCGCCATGGCCGCCATGGCTGGCGTGGAGCTTCCTCCGGTGTGCCTGCTACTGTTCTCAGGGTCAGGATAGGTTCGCGGGGTGATGTTGATCATGATGGTGCTGTCCACCTCGCCGGAGTCTCGCCGTCGGCGCGTTTTGGCAACCGGAGTCAGTGGCACCGCCGTGCACTCTGTTTTGGGTCGCTGACATGCGGGGCCGGGTCGTCAGAGAGAGAGAGAGTGAGGACAGAGAGATTTCTTATTTTCTGGATTTTGAATAGTGCAACAACTTTGAAAATTCATAGGAAAATAATTAATGCTCCAAAAATTCTGAAAATTTGTGTGTAGCTTCTATACATGTTCTATTATGGTTTAAAAATATGAAACTTGAAACTTGAATAAATTTTTAATGTTCCAAAATTTAGTCAATTAATTAATAAATGTAATTTCCATAATTTTTGTAGAGCACTGTATAACTCCAAAAATTATGAAATTTATTTTGATACACTAATTTGTCATGTGGAAGCTTGCATATAATTTTGAGGTCATTTGGAACAAGTTCATTTTGAGCTTATTTTCCAAATTAATTAAAAATTGAATTAAAGCAAACCCTAAGTGTTAGGTTAGGGTTTGATCTTGTTTTGGTCATGTTTTGTGACCAGTAGGGTTTCAAGATCAGTTTGATCAAGTCACCTATGTCATAAGCCCTAGGTCATTAATAAGTTGACTTGTCGTAACCCTAGATGTTAGTGTCAGTTGGTTTTGTTGGCTTGCAACTGTACCGCGAAGGAAAGTTGTATTCCAGTTGTTAACTTTTGCATATATCATCAAGCATCATGTTTCGTATTCCGCATCATGTTAAACATGGCATTGTTACTACGTGTAGTGAACGAAGGTGAACACGTGGTAGTTAATCAAGTTGCGGAGGAGGTTAATCCATCTGTTGATGTCGGATCGAATACTTGTGGAACATCGCAGGAACTGGACTTTTCCGTCAACGAAGGCAAGCTCTGGATACATACAACCCTACCATGTGTTTTACAAATTGATTTCGCTTTTGCTTCTATTTACTACATTAAGTGATTAGGAGTCAAGAGAAAACCGAATTGGTGCATTACCAACCTTGTTATTCCATATTTACCCTGTTACCAGTTTTAATTCGTATATGCCTAGTTATGCTTAGCTATGCTTAGAACGATGAAAGTCGGATGATTACCTGTCACCTGCAAGTTTTATATGGAACTTTGGTTACTTATGTTACCATGTGATATGAGAATGTGGAGTAATAAATCTAGACCGGGCGAACTCGATGTGTGTGAGCCACAAGACATGGAGGTCTTGTGAGCGGGTTCTTTCCGCCTATGTTGATTAAGGCCTGTACCGTTGGTGAATTGCGTGCGGTGAGACTTTGTAGTACTAACCACATACTTCGATAAGCCTTAACTTGGTGATTCTATCGCGAGAATGGCTACTCGCGCACTGGGAGTGGAGAAATGGCGGGAATAGCGTGTACCCACGTGGCAATAGGCTGGAGTGTGGAGTACTACTCAGGTGGCGCGGACCCATTCTTGTTTAGAGGATCCGAGGGTAGGTTGGTATATGTAGGTCGGGGACCAGCATATGTCGTGTGGTCTGGAATCCCCAGCTAGGTTTAATCGGTTCGAATCGTCGTTGCTCCTCGGTTATGGAGACTCACTTCTCTGTTCATAATTGTAGTATAATAAATGAAACTTGAAGTGGTTTGAGAAAGTGTTGTGTATGAAGTTTCATGATCTCATTACGGATCATGTCATCTTTGTATATGATTTTATTAAGTTTTAAATGTTGATATAAAGAATTTTGTTAAAGAGCTTTTACGCAAAAGAACTTTGATTATTGCTAAAGCCATACCTTGAATCCCTGAGCCTGCATTCCTAAGTTTATCAGTTCTTATTTCGGTTAAGTCTTGTTGAGTACTTTTGTACTCAGGGTTCATTGACCCTTGTTGCAGGTGAGCCTCATGAGCAGATCTATTTTGGATCATGCTTCATGACTATTGTTCGATCTGACGATGAGAAGTAAATGTGTAGCCATTGGGCAGGGTAGTTTCATTGTGTGTTTTGTATTATATTATAATGCCACTCCACTATTTCATTTTGTAATAATCATCGAACTTAGTTGTGAGGTTTGAAACTACTATTTTGTAAATTATGTTATTGTAAGATTCCCGCTGTTTTTACTCTGGTGTATCTATTTGAATAAACTGTTGTAATACTGCAATGACTCTGTAATATGATCCTGCTCGGAAATCGTGGATGATTCGGGGTTCCCCGAGGACACCCGACAGTCTTCTTAAGTTACCGGGAACGTATGCATAGATGTCAAAGGTCGTTGGACAGTGACAGGTGTATGTGGGTCCTATAATTTAGGAGGTTCTGCCACAATCATCCTCTTATAGCTTCTATCGATTGCAACAACCAGTACAAGCACCTGAAAATAACCCTAAAAAACAGTACACAATGTATTACAAAAAAAAACAAGATAAAAGCGATTCTAACACGGAGGCATGATCCAACGATCGTATGAGCGCAAAAACAAACTAAAACTAAGCTATGGTAAAAATATGAGCTTTTGAAGTTTTATGAGCTTAAATCATAAAATTGACATTTTAAATAAACTAGATATTTTTGGAGCAATAAATTTATATCAAGAGCTAGCAAGAAGGATGACATTGATGCAGGAGAATGAAAAACATGAGCTAGATTACTAAAGCAATATTTATGGAACTATGAGGATTATATTTATGAAGTAAAAGAATATGTATCTGACAAACGACATGATGACATGTTGACATAAAGAAGGTATATTGCTGAACGTGGCTTGTATCAATGTCAACGTCGTCATGTGCATGCATGGTACTACAGATTAAACCAGTATTAGCGCACCATTATTAGTGGCGTGCATCACATGGTTCTGCTGTACGTGGGATTTTGATCTAGGATTTCAAATATTTGAAGGCAGCTAAAAGATAACCAACGTGCTAGCTCCAAGAATGTTTGTTTTTCCCAAAGTTAAAGGATAACTCCATTACATGGGCAAGGGATCAGAATAGACAACCTAAAAAGCCTATGCATGATGAAGAACCGGTTCTGGATTTTGCTTGTGCCTGCTTGCACATATTCTGTACACGGGAATCGATCAAGCTACTGGATTTTAGATGCAAGATAGAAAGGAGAAGCACAAGGATGCCCAGGTTCTCACCGATGGTGATGGCTGCTACCGCAGCAAAATGATGGTGAGCGTCGATATGGAAGAAGCGCTGCTCAGCGATGACCATGAAGGACCGGAGCGATCTGCTAGAATTTGACGGAATGCGGCCATGCATCACTACTCCATTCAGGTTCTTTGCCGAGTGCCTGAGGCACTTGGCAAAGGCCAAATTACACTCGGCAAAGCCTTTACCGAGTGCGGCACTCGGCAAAGAACACACGTCAAAAAATTGATCGGCAAAGCCCTATTTGTCGAGTGTTTTTTATCGGGCACTCGGCCCGGGGACACGGCCCTGTTGACGGTCACTTTGCCGAGTGTCAACCTCTGCAGACACTCGGCAAAGATTTTATATTTTTTTTAAAAAAATTTTTTGCCGAGTGCCAACCCTGCAGGCACTCGGCAAAGATTTTTTATTTTTTTTAAAAAAATTTCTTTGCCTAGTGCCAACCCTGCAGGCACTCGACAAAGATTTTTTATTTTTTTTACAAAATTTCTTTGCCGAGTGCCAACCCTTCAGGCACTCGGCAAAGATTTTTTGTTTTTTTTAAAATTATTTGCCGAGTGCCCCTTGTCCTGCTCGGCAAAATTTGATTTTTTTTAAAAAAAAATCTTTGCCGAGTGCCCTCTGGCCGGCACTCGGCAAAGTTTGATTTTTTTTTTAATTTTTTTTATCGAGTGCCATGGTCACAACACTCGGCAAAGCAGGAAAAATGGTTTTCCAAGCACAGATACGTTTATTATTATTATTATCCCCTGAAATGATGTTTTATAGGAACATATACGTTTGTAAGCCTTGTGGTACATTGCATATGCATGCTCTGATTTTTTTTTTTTTTGAAACCTGCATGCTCTGATATTGATATACAATCATACGGATACACTTCTTCTAATAATCGTTAATACTTAATACATGTGGTTGTATCGCCTCAATGACTTTCCCCTCTTTCCTATGATAACTTTGTATACCTAGGCAAACAAATCACAGCACTGCGACTGTTTTTCACAAGCCATAATCAGTTCAGCAAGAGCTGTCCATGAACTCCACAAGCAGCTCCTTCACCGTGCCTCTGTCTGGCATCTTCCCTGCGGCGCCGTAGATAGGAGCCATTCCACCGCTAATAGGGCCTGGGTTTGCTTTCACCTGCCAACGCCAAACGTCATAAGAAAACATAGCCTTTCCTAGCGATGGAATGGATCAGGGTAATAATAGCCATTAGGCGACATAACATAACACGTGCTGAGCAACTCACAGTGTTCACAGAATCTTGCAGATCCTTCAGGAATTGGTCATAAATAGTCGTGTGTTGAAGGGTCACACAAATGTGCAAATTGAAACCGGTAAGGATTGTCAGACTAGCCGAGAATGCAAATAGCACCAATGGCTGCTGGGGTGAAGGGACTCCCTCCATTCCAAATTATAAGACTTTTTTTGTTTTTCTAGATACACTGTTTTTATTATGTATATCTAAGTGCATATAAAAAGCTATGTATGTGGAAAAGCAAAAATCTCTAATAATTTGGAAAGGAGGGAGTACAATACAATTGTTTGTCTGAAGCCAAGATTTACCTGTTAGGTCTCTGCAGAGCATTGAGATGCTAACCTTTTGATGACATTATGTCGTTCACCTCAAATATGTCGACAACATCCGAGGCGAACGCCACAACGGTCAAATCACCTCAAATATGTCGACAACATCCGAGGCGAACGCCACAACGGTCAAATCTGGTTTCCCAATCACAAACAACCCTGGGATCTCTCCAATCCTGCACAAGCCATAAAATTTTACCCACAGCTAAGCAGTGATCCATGTTGATGATCCAGTCACAACAAAAGGAAGCACATCTATTCTTAGTATAAAAATATTACAAGTGTGCTAATTAATTTGGCATTTGACCATGCATACTAGTAGAAAATAAATATCTGCGTGAATACTACTTCAATTTAAAAAGTTACAATAAATAAATAAACAAAAATGGGTAAAACATAGCTACAGTCAGAGTTTATCTTATGTCTTGTAGTCATAGTTCAGAGTTCAGGCATAACAAACAAACAAGTTTACCCTCTTTGTATTTTCTTCGAAACTTCCATGATACGGCTTGTACTGTCCAAGTAGCCTGGAAAGCAAGAAAAGCAATGGTATACATCACAAGTACTATTTGATTCTAAGCCACCACTACACACTGATGGAATTTCAGAATAAGTTTGTCACCATTTAGTCCGAGAGACATCATAGCAGTCCAAGCTCCCGCAATTAATCCACCTGGCCTGCTTCCAGCCATAGTGGGAGAAACATAAAGCCCACCGGTCCACTCGGTAACTGAACAAACAAGGAAACACAAATGCAATTGTAAATCACTATTCAAACTTTTGAAGAAGACTCAAAGAAGTTAAGATAACAAAGGATTTTCAGGAACCAAGTACTACTTCCACGGATAGCGGAAGCATATCCAACTTCTCCAGACCATTTAAAAAAAATTACAGCTAACAGTTCTTCCAGCTATATTTTTTGTGAAGGTCAACAGGGGGAGGCGTTCCCCACCTGATTTTATATAATGGCCCCAACGGCCAGTTATATGTATTTTCCATAACGGAAACCAATATATGACATTAATACGAACATAAGTTAAAAAGACATAAGTTCATTAAAGAAGTTCCATTTTATTTTGGAAGAAGAGGAAGAGCTTACCAGCAACAAACTGATGCTGAATTTGATGGTGATATCCCAGATGTCAGAAAACGTAGCACTTTCAGAAAATCAAAGTTCACTAACAAAAAATTTAATGGATACCATTGACATACCGCTATTCTTTCTAGATCCCAAAAATCAACCAATGTCCCACAAAAGGGAAGGCAAAAACACACAGACAAAACCTATCAAGATTAGTCACAAGCTGATCTTTAACCAGAAGCTTTTGTTCACCTCCAATTATATTGAAGATCACAGCAATCAAACATATTGCTTTCATATGTGGTTATCCTATATCATATTTAGTTGTAAGTTGTAACCATTTTCTAAGTTTATTTATCGTCAATGATGAAAGTTTTTACATAGAGGCAATTGATGTTGGCTGGCAAACAAATCTAAAAAAATCCTGAACCTCAAACATCAACTTAGAGAATTTGAATGAACATAGTGTTTTAAGACGAAAACTTATAATCATTTCAACTGCTTCAAGTTGGGGTGCACATATTGAGGGGTTACAAGAAAATTTTGCAACCTGCAGGAACCATGGTGTTATGATCCCACAAATAACAATTATCATATAGTAGTAATTATAATATAACCTGCAGGAACCATGGCAACTGTAAATACAACATGTATATATATCAAATGGAATCATATACTCCTATTTACTGTAATACTTATACTAGTAATTCGAGTAATTTACAGTGAATTATCATCGCACAAAATGCAAACGGCATCACGCACACCAATATTGCTATCAACACAGCACACACACGGGAGCTGGGAGTGGGAGAGATCAGAGATGAGACTGAGAACTGGAAGTTGCAGCAGATTGCGGGCAACAACGACTTATCTCTCAGGCTTCAGTCGCTCAGGCCGCCAGCGACTTGGCCTTTGCGGCGAAGCAGGCGGCGGCGCGCTTGCAGGAGCGGTAGGGGTTGAGCCGCCGGCGTAGGAGCGGGCGAGCAGCGACGGCGGGAGCAGGAGCGCCTTGCTGTTGTTTCCCTTGGAGTTGGAGCGGTTCCGGGCGTGAGCGAGCTGGCCACGCTCGGCCACACGTGGCCGTGGGGGCGGGGGCAGCAGCCGTCGCGTGGCGCGGGGAGGGGCTGCGGCCGAGCGCGCAAGCGGCCGGGCGGTGCGGCGGCGGCGGCGTGCGCGGGGGCGGGGATGGGCCGGCGTGGGCGTGGGGGCTGCCTGGCTGTCTGCTTGACTGCCCGGCCGGCCGAAATCGTTTAAGTCCCCCAACCGCCCCTTTGCCGAGTGCCGGATCAGGGAGGCACTCGGCAAAGATTTATTTTTTTTTTAAAAAATTCTTTGCCGAGTGTCCAGATCTGGCACTCGGCAAATATTTAAATTTTTTTAAAAAATTTCTTTGCCGAGTATCCTAGATCTGGCACTTGGCAAAGTTTTTTTTAAAAAACATACTTTGCCGAGTGCTCCTGATATGGCACTCGGCAAAGATTTAATTTTTTTTAAATGTCTTTACCGAGTGCCCTGTGAAGGCACTCGGCAAAGAGGAATTTTTTTAAAAAAATCCAAACCCACTTTGCCGAGTGCCTTATCCATGGCACTCGGCACGCCCCGACACTCGGCAATGTTTTTTTTGTTTTTTTTGTTTTTGGCCTCCAAATTTTTTGTGCAGCCCTTTTAAAGCACCAGGAACTTCTAGTTAGAATTTGAGGATTTTTTATGGCTTTTTGATATATTTAGTTACTTTATTTTATTTACTTGAATTTTTTCGAAAAATATAATTTTGAACTACACGTGGTACGAATAATGGAATTTAATGATTCAAAAATTGATAGTCATGTTTTTATCAGTGTTGTGTGAGGCCATATCTCAAGAAGGACCAAAATTTTCGACATCTTGTTCACGAAACATGAATTTAAAATGCGTCGAGAAGCATTTTAAATTCTATAAAAAAAAAGCGAAGTCAAAAATCATGAAACTTGTTGAGATGTAATGATATCATATGTGGAACTATGATAAAAATTTTTGAAGATTTAATTCCGTTATCACGTCGATATGTCTGGTTTGTAAACGACAGCGTGCATTTCTATTTTTCAAAAAATTCAAGTAAACGAAATAAAGTAACTAAATATATAAAAAAATAAAAAATCCCCAAATTGTAACTAGGAGTTCTTAAAAAATTGCTTTTTTCAAAAAGGCTGCAAAAAAAAATTGAGGCCAAAACAAAAAACAAAAAAAAACTTGCAAAAAAGGGGCATGGCACTCGGCAAAGGGTGTCTTTGCCGAGTGCCAGGATAAGGCACTCGGCAAAGAGGGTTTTAATTTTTTAAAAAAAAATTTCCTCTTTGCCGAGTGCATCCACATGAGCACTCGACAAAGAAATTATAAAAAAAATTAAATTTTTGCCGAGTGCCGTGCTAGGCGCACTTGGCAAAGTATTTTTTTTAAAAAAAAAATCTTTTCTGAGTGCCAGATCTGAGACACTCGGCAAATGATTTTTTTTAAAAAAATTAAATCTTTGTCGAGTGCCAGATCTGGGGCACTCGGCAAAGAATTTTTTTTAAAAAAAAATCAAATCTTTGCCGAGTGCCTAACAGCAGGCACTCGGCAAAGAAGGTCGTGACAGAACACCGTTTCGCGGGCAGTCTATGCCGAGTGTAGAGATTTTGCCGAGAGTCTGGCACTCGACAAAGAAGTCCTTTGCGGAGTGCCTGGCACTCGACAAAAACTCTTTGCCGAGTGCATCACTCGGCAAAGAAGGCGAGTGTCCGATTTTTGACACTCGGCAAAGAATTTTGCAGTCGGCAAAGTCCCTGTTTACGGTAGTGCATGGATCAACGTCGAGGAGCGTCGAGATGACTCTACAGTGAGCCTGTGATGGAGATCAAAGATAGAGAGATCAGCGTCAAGGTTAAGGGCAAAGCGCCACTGATGAATTCTCACCGTCTCTGGTGAAGACGATTCAGCAGCAGCGTATTCAGATCACAGCCAACCAAGAGACAGGTTCTGACAAGAGAATAGAAGGAAAAGATCAATATATCTCATAGTAGGAATCATGGATAAGGATAGATGCTACGATTCTCACCAAAGGGGGTGACAACTGACGACTGCCATCAGAGGACGACAGCAGCGTCGGCGGCGTGTTCTTCCCTGACAGTCTGTTCTTGAAGATCTTGCAGTATCGTTGGATCGAAGAGCGAGGGATGAGCAGGGCTGTGGCATGGGAAAAGACTCCTGTGGAGCGATGCAAACATGAAATGGCTAGGAGATACGATCTGATGCTGCCTTTATAGGGCTCCGAAGAGAGAAGCTGAAGGGTTATTAGGGGATGCATGCGACAAGAATATTGAAGGCGGCGGAGCTGGAGCATTGTGCTAATGTCACTATGAACGTTGACATTTCTTGTGATTGGAATTGAAGGAGAAGTGAGTGTGGGTTCCATATTGCTCATAATTGGTCGTGGTGCTCTTTGATTGTCCACTTGCGAGAGAGCATGGTTATACCATGCACAACGTGAGCAAAATAGCATAGTGACTGATGCTTTCTTGGTGTGGATTATTGCACCAGAAAAGATTATATAAACAAAGGAGAGTTTTGCGTCAACTTGCCGAGGATGATGACGAATAATGCACGAACTGGTGGAGATGAGAGGGCACGGCGTGGCGGATCAAGGTGAGGAACATCTGTGGAGTCCAGGCTCGTTTTATAGCAGCCAGAAAGAAGTGTAGGAGTTGAGCAAGGAGTTATTGGTTAGTGATATACATAATGGTCATGCTTCCATTCTAGCCACTATGGCAGCCCTAGTTGCATCTCTGATGACGGTGGAAATTAATGGAAGAATAAGTGGGGCTTGCTGGTTAATAATTACGTGTAAGCAAAAGTTACCCATGGAAATAAAGAAAGAATATATATTTGTTATGCAATAACACCAACAAAGAAAAGAGAGAAGCTGGTATTAATTTAAATGGTGGCTAAATGACGATGGACTTGTGTGCTTGCATATATATGTATATATATGGGCTTATAGCACCCGGTTTTAAGAACAAAACCAGATACACATCATATGTGAGCCCAGAAAATTAAATCTCATATATAGCTATAAATAAGAGTATTATCAATAGACAATGCTCAATATATAACGTACTTAGTATAGAGAATATAACTTTAGATAGCAAACAGTGGAAAGACAACTCCGATCTTCGGGTGAAGACTCAAATTCTACAGGGACAACTGACTAGTTGATCACAAACCTAACTCCTCCAGACTAGCAATCTGGTACCCATACGAATTTTTCCAAAAGATTTAAAAAGTAAAGCAAGCGTAAGTACATGTCGTACTCAACAAATATAACAAGGGGTTCATGAGACTCAAAAGGGTGACACTGGTTTAACTACGATTAACTTTAAATGAGTCATCTTTTAGCAATTGGGTGGCAACAAGTTTTATCCAAAAGCCCATATAAACATATGATCAGATAAACATGAATAATAAATAACATAAATAGTAATCATTAGTGAGCATCTTTATCATTAGTATCATCAGTGTTCATCATCTATTCCGTAAATGTTCTAAGGCCGCTCATGACCGTGAGCACGGCTGATATACCAGTTTTACACTCTGCAG